TTTTTAGGGCATGAAGACGCATTATGATAAGTTGACAAACAAATGGCATATAATTTAGATTTTGCGTCAGTCTATTTGAGTTTTTTGTTGTTAAGTATAAGTTTATTAGTCATAATTATAGCATTAGCTTCATTAGCATTGTGAAAGTAGAAGTACACATGTTGCAAATAATTATAGTTTGATCTTGCTCGCAGAATAATTCAAGCAGTAACATCGACCATCTTACCAATGTCAAAGAGGTCACGTGCTATGGTACCTTGTGAAAGATTACTGTATTGTGAGGACTATAGTACCCCAGGTATGATACATATTAAGAGAAGTTAGAGGCTATACCCAGGATACATTACAAGGAAAGATACAGTGCGAGTACTGTGCATAGAAGGGGTACAAGGTTTGTAAAGTATCCTAAATACTTACCATGTATAATACCCAGTTATTTGAACATCTCTTCAGGATATACAAATCGTGTTTTACCTCTATTTTTTGTGTAATAAATTCTATACACTCTTGTTTTTTTGTCTTTTATTTGTAACGTGAAAAATTGTAAAAATAAAAAATGGTTGTTATTGGTAATAAAAGAATAAAAAAACATGTAACCGCTTATCACAAAAGACACAGCTACAATAGAATATAAAAGAAAAATTAATGGTAATGCATTATTTGAAAAATAATGGGGAAAATAAGCGTGAAACTGCCAAAAAATTTAATATTTAACCCAAACAAGTGCGTGACTGAAATAAAAATAAAGGAAAATTATTAGCAACTGCATCTCATATTGTTAAACTTTATCCAAGTAAATCTGCTAAATATCCAAGCTTAGAAAATGATTTATTTACATGGGTTAGTGAAAGAAGAACAAATCAAAATTCTGTTAGTCGAAAATTGATTATTAAGAAAGCCATTACGTTATCTAAAGATCGAGATTTTTTAGTAAATAATCCAAATATTACTGAATTCAAATTTTCAAGAAAATAGCTTGATGGTTTTTTAAGAAGATATATCTTTGTGAACATTGTAGAATAACAGTAGTATAATAATTGCCACCAGATTTGCTTGAAAAACAAAATATTTTTTTGAGTTATGTTTTATATAGAAGGATTCAACATGATTATCTATTACAATACATTAGTAATATGAATGAGACACCATTATAGTTTGATTTATTAAGTAATACTACCATTGATCACAAAGATACAAAAACAGTTAGTATTCATACAAAAAAAAACTCTTTCTGCCTTTTCAACAATTTTCAAAAATGCCAAAAAAAACTGAAAGGAAGAACACCAACTGCGGTCATTCTGCGTCGCCAATATCTGACAAGTTACTAAAAAAGAAACAAAATACTCAGCAAACTTTAGACAACGACCTCTCTCTTATATATATAACGGGACCCACTCCAACTGTCCTTCCAGTTGAAACCAGCTCTATAGAAGTTAACCTAGTTAAGGAAAGTTCGTCCAATAACCTCAATAAAGGAAAAAGTCCTGAAATTATCACTTCAACTTCTTCAATTTCTGAAACTACTGCGCCTAAACCAACAGTTAGTATCGATGAGTCTTTCAACATGTCAGAAAATATCTTAGATACTTCAACTATCGGCTTTGATGCTCGTTACTAAATTTTTCGTGTTTATTCAAATGGATAAACTCTGTGACCCAAACCCTAAATAAAGATCTTGAAGATCACTGATTTGTGCTATGATAAGTACAACTCATTTATCATTGCCACAAAAGGAAGACATCCTACTGAGCATAATCAGGTTATTATTAAAGTTGCCTTTTTGGACAAAGTTGAACATGATAAATTTTGTAAATACAAATCTTCCGATATAGATGATATCACGTTCCAACCCTTTAATATTAAAAATCTGCACTCTACGTATCCGTTCTGTCGATCATGGTCACAGAAATTCTACTAGACACCACTGAAACAAGACTACGTAAACTATTTTCCAAATTTGGCAACATCGTTCATTTTACTATGAAAATGAAAAACCTTTGGCAATAAGCCACAATTACCTTTGACAAAAAGGCAAATTTTGAAGAATTAAAAAAAGGAGATGGGATTTATCTTCTCAACGACATGGTTCGCTACTACCATTATAGCCTTTTTAGGTCAAAAATTCAAGCCCGTTCTACCTTCTCAGCTAAACTAACTAATCTTTCCCAAAATATCACACCACGTGATCTTTAAGATATTGGAAATATGGTCTCTACTATTGCGTGTATTATCCCTAGAGCCCGTTCGAATTATAATTATCTACAACACGCTTTTTTTATTTCTCCAATAAAGAAGATACTCAGACTGCATTGGGAATAAAAAATCTGACTCTAAACAACAAAAAATTGAAATGGATGGATCCAAAAGTCAAACTTTGTGCAATTTGTTTGTCTGCATATCACAACACTTCCACCTGCCCCAGACGTCATCAATATCTCAAGGATTGTAATATGCAAAATCTTTATCAACGATTCTAACTAGCTCAGTTCAACAATTACACAGCACTAAAACGTAGTCCTATACGAGGCGCTATTTGTGAAAATATCACTTTTGCTCACGTAATCAAAACTCTGTAACAAATTATCCATTCTCAAGAAGGACCAAAAAGGAGACCTCCCCCACCTCCACCACCTAAAGCAAAAACCAATACCTCTTCCAATAGATCTTCCAATGAAAAACTAAAATTGCAATGGGCAGACGATTCCATAGATGAATTCATGGAAACTGAAGTTTTTCCTACCCCAAAATTAGATAATGGTACAGCAAAAGGCAGCTCAATTCATGACTCAGATTTCAAACAATTTGTCACCTCTCAACTTACTTTAATCTCTAATGCTCTTTCTGAACTCGTTGTTAAATTCAAATTTTCGCAATAACGTCTCGTCGTCGTTGAAAAAGCCCTTTACATTCAAGTCGTCACTTCTGTCAAGGCGGATGACTTTAATAATAATTTACCTGATTCTGCCACTGAAGTAGATCAAAAATTCCTACACATTAACACCGATCTTTGTATCTCTCATTTACAAAAACAAACAAATGATCAACTGATCTTCATTTGTCAAAAATAACAATAACGTATTTCGCAATTTACTCCTTTACTCAATAAGTTACTCAGATCCTGTCATAATCTCCAAACCACTCTCCTTAACAAAAATATTCTTAATAAGTATGACACACAAATTTTTGAACCTTTGACTGAAGATTTCGACAAAGCGATAAAACGCTGCATCAGCAGCTTCCCAAATTAATTATTATCACTACAATGATCACTGTCCCTATAATGAATAATATAAATACTTCCAGTTCTTACACTCCTTCCATCCCAAATCTTAGAATCGCCACTCATAATGTTCGTTCTCTTAATGAACTAGCAAAACAAAATTACCTCTTTTTCTTATATTCAGTTAATCAATTTGACATCATCGGTCTACAAAAAACAAACTTCAAAAGAATCTCATCCATTTTCAACCGTGATTTCTCAAATTATACTACCTTTTTTAGTAACAACCAAAATTCCTGATTAATTGGAACTGGTGTTAGCCTTTCTTTCAGTCTAGCTATCGCTAAACATATTTTTGCTCATGACTCTAAGTTAGATAGAATTATTTATGCAAAACTTCAATTTGCAAACAAACAAAAATTAATGGTCATTAATTGTTATATTTCACCTGCCAACCCTTCAACAGACATCACAAAACAATCTGTTATTCTCTTAAAACGATTAATAAATGATGCCATCAAAAACGATTTGCATATTATTCTTATCAGAGATCTAAATGCTGACATAGACCGTATTAACAACTCATCCTTCAATTTGAATTTTGTTAATTTCCTCAATAATTACGATTTATATGATGCGTTTAATGTTCAATTTAAAGATAAATGAACATATTATCCATCTTGTGTCAACAAAAATTCTTCGTCTAGGATCGATTATATTTACATGACACCTGAATTAGTATTCAATATACTTGACTGCAAAATTGTTCAAACGGAATTTTTCATCACAGACCATCATATCGTCTCGACAAAAATTATTAACTCCTTAAATATTTCACATTTACTAGGAAAAGCCCAGTCAAATCTTCCTTTAATTTTAATTTAATGGACGATTCTAAATGGTCTAAATTCAAAGACAACTTGGATAATAATTTGAATTTCAATTCATTGAAACATATTTCATCCACTACTGTCTGGTTCCAAAGTCTTCTTAACTCTTCTTGGGACCTTTTTCAAGACACTCTTATCTCAGTGGCAAAAAAATGTATTCTGATACATAAGGCAAAGAATTACCACTTTTCAAAAAAACCTGTCGCCCTGTTAAAGATATACAATGACATAAAATTACTCTATCGTTTCGACAAAATTACAAAAAAGTGTCTGAAAGATCTTTCTGTACACGACAAATGGAATAACCTCTACTCACAATTTTTACAGCTTGCTCATGCCAATAGTTTGAACACTATTCCTTTAAATTGTCTTTTTCACGTAACAATGCTTAATACTGTTCTTCCAGATATCAAACTTCTTCTAGATAGTCTCAAAATAAAGGTGGAACTGCGTGAACATAATTTCAAACTTAAGAGTATTCAAGAAGCTTTAAACGCCTGTGTAGAAGACTACAGACATAATTCATCTCAGATGATTGATTCAGTCCTTAATCGCAGAAAAAAGACCATTATATTGGATAGATGCATTGATAATTCGTCTTCACATCGTCATTTACTTTTTGAAGAACCGGATGTTAAAAAAGTTGCCAGATATTTCTAACAAGTAGCAGGCACCATATATCATACTAAAGAGATCCCAGAGGATTGGATTTCTACATATACCCCTTTGGACTTAATTGATTCCAGCATCTATAATAACTTGATGTCCTTATCTTCTGCAGACAAATGTATAGGATCATTGATCGACTTCCCAACAATAAAGTCTCAGGACCCTCAAAGATTTCAAATGAAATGTTAAAACATTTAGGACCAATCACGAAGAAATGTCTATGGTACATTATCTGTAGCTTTCTGCAAATTTCATCAATACCTTATCACTGGAATTTGGCATATATCTACCCGATCTCTAAACTAAAACTGTGGGAATATGATTTAAACAACACCTGTTCAATAACACTATTAGAAAGCGTTCAGAAAGCATTTGTTCAACTGATTAATTCAAGACTTGCTAACATCTTTATACAACACAACATCCTTAAAGGATATAACTTTGCAGGTTTGCCTTTCAAATCTACCTTTGACCCATACATCTTTTTGATAATATTAAACAGAATGCAGTTTATAATAATACAGAATTATGGGTTCTGTTACAAGATATATCTAAAGTATACGATCGTGTGAATGTCTTTACTCTTGCTGCAGCTTTTGCAAGACTACGCCTTTCTTACAAATTCACCCAAACAATTTTGAGACTTTTTCTCCTCAGATTCAACCAAGTCTTCACAGCTCACGGCAATTCTGATACATATTTAATACATTCAGGAATTGATCAAGGCGAAGTTATATTGCCACTTTTGTGGTGTATATACTATGACCTGCTTCTATGCGCGTCCTGATGCCTTCTTCCTATTACTAATAACTCTCGCCTAAAAGTTCCAGCACTTG